TAACACAATAAAGGAAAATAAGCAGAATGAGTGGGTTGAGAGACAGAAGGGAACTTGCGCCAGGGAACTAGTGAGCTGATACCACCTGGCCCTCACTTCAAGGAGTTTTAATTTGGCTCACAGTTTCTGGGAAGTCAGGCCCTGGGAAACAGGCCCCAAGGCAGGTGCAGCCTGGCAGAAGGTTGTGCAGGACAAAACTGTTTAGTTCATGGTGGCCAGGTTACAGAGCAGCAAAAGTGTGAGGGAGGAAGAGGCCAGACAACAAATACAGAACTTGAGGCCATGCCTTCGTGACCAACCCAGACACAGCATGAAGCATGCTCCACCCACCCCTTAGCCAGGTCACAGAGCCAATCAAATTATCACCACACACAGGCAGCTAGATGCCACCAGCAATCCTGCAAGCTGTGTCTGTGTTGTGCTTCAAGGAAAAGGAGATTCTGCAGTAATAACTGAAGTTAGGCACCTTAGGATGGAAAAATGATCCGGGACAGTGTGGCTGAGCCTGGAGTAACCACATGGGCCCTTACGTGTCAAGGCTTAGAGATCTGACAGTAACAGTGGGAGAAGAAACAGGAAATATTTACTGCATGGATGATACTCAAACACCATAGCTGTCTTTGGACATAGAGGAAAGAGCCACACCAAAAATGAAGCTCTCAATGGCCTGCAGTTTACAAGTTAAAAAACGATGACAATGTCAGTCCTACAGTCACAAGGCACCAAATCCTACCAAGGACACAAAGGAACAGAAAATTGATTTCCCTACACAGCCTGAAGAGTCCAGCACAGCCACCTTAAGAACTCACCCGCAAAAGCGAATGCATTTGTTTCTCTACGCCACTGAATTCTGATAACTTGTTCCAGCAGCAACGGAAAACCCAGCAAGTGCAGTAGCCATGGCACAGCACTCTAAGCAGAGCCAGAGAGACAGTTGTGGGAAGAGCTCATAGGTCACAAGGTGAGGAACAGCAAGAAGGCCAGCGCGGCTGGAGTAAGGGAAGAGCAGCAGGAACTGAGGGGCCAGGAGAGGCTGAGCCAGCACCCTGGAGCTGTGCAGGTCACGCAGCTCTGCTCCTTCTCTGAGCATGATGGGAAGACACTTACACAGACTCTAGCTTTGCTTGTTCAACAATGCTTATGTTGAAATTCAGTGCCCACTGCGAGTTATTAAGCGATGGGACCAGATGGGACCTTGGAGCCATGGCTGAGCTTTGAAGTTGTACCCTCCTGAACAGATTGATCCATTTCTGGATCAATAAAGTAATGGATGAATGGATTTTAGGGAGTTTCTTTCTTCCACAAGTGAGCTCTCTCTTGTACACTTGTGCTGTCTTCCCATTTGATACCCTAGGCCACATGCTACAAGACTGAGAGAACAAGAAGGCCCCCATTAGGGCCAGTGTCCCCTGGTCTTGGGCACTTCCCAAACTCCTGAGTTCTGAGAAATAAATTTTACTTTCTAATAAATTACTCAGTCTCAGACATTCTATTGTAATAATAGAAAACAAACTAAGACACCCGAGTAAAGTCAAAGTTATGTTTTTGAAAAGATTCCCTGTGGGTGATGTTGGAGGATCACTATGCAGCTCAGACTCAACCTTGCACCAAATACATAAATTTTAAAAAAAGATTAAACTGGATGGATGAGAGTGACACAAGGAGATTCCAGTTCTGAGAGGATATTTAAATTGTTCTCCAACAATCCACTCAAATGACAGAAGACAGCTTGGACAGTAGCAGAAGAGGTGGAGGACTGAGAAACAGTCTCCTACAGGGTACATTTGAAATTCACACAACACTGAATTTTCTGATGGCTTGTAAATGGGGTAGCAAAGAGAGCTCACAGTATAAGCAACCAAGCCCACTGAGGCCAGTCAGTGAGGTGGAGCAAGCGCCCCAGATTCAGGAGATCAAGGCTTTGTTTGGGGATGTTAAGAACCAGACACCTGTCCTTCATCCACTTCACGCTAAGTACATGAAACTGCTTTGAAGGACACTTTAGAATGGAGGTCCATGGTCAGCAGAATAACCACAGCTCCCAGATATCTACCTCCTAATCCCCAGACCTGTGGATATGTTATGTTATGTTATATGGCAGGTGGGGAATAAAGGAAGTGATGGACTTGAGAAGACACAGAAGACTCAGAACCAGGGCTGCGCAGATAGCTCAGTGCTAAGCGCCTGCCTGGCAAGCACAAGGACCCAGGTTCAATCCCCAATACTGCATGCCAGGCACACCAGGTGTGGTGGTGCATGCCTGTAATCCCAGCACTGAGGAGACTGAGACAGGAGGATCACTACGAGTCTGAGCTGTGTAGTGAGACTCTGTACCAAATAAATAAATAAAAGATTTTTAATTAGAAAAAAAAATAAGACTCAGAACCAAAGAGATGCCATTATATGAAAAATTTAGCTGGCCAGTGCTGACCTCTAAAATGGTGAAAGCGGGCTGTGAGCCAGCACATGGGCCACGAGCCAGGCATGGGGATAGCCTCTCGGAACTGGGAAAGACAACAAAATGGATTCACCCTGATAACCCCAGAAAAGAACAGAGCCTGCCCATGCCTTGAGTTTAGCTCAGGGAGACCCCTGTCAGACTGCTGAGCTACAAAAGTATAATAAATCAATTTATAAATCAAAACTAGATTTACGTTGCTTTCAGTCACTGAGTTTGAGTTACAGCAGTAAAGAGAAACTAAAACAAAGCCAGCAGTCTTGTTTTTCCTTTCGCTGTACCCTATCTTGGTAAATGGCATAAAATGCTCCCATTTATTCAAGGCAGAAATACATGTAACATCCTCAACTCCTTCGTGCTCCAACCCATCAACATTCAGTTCTCTAGATTCTACCGAGTTAGGGTTAGATGTTCTGCCATTTTCCTAATTCAGACCATCATCCTGATTCTGGACTGCATATTTCAGAGGATTGCTCCTCTCCTCTAATCTCTCCAGTGGCTTATATTGGCCTCAGAATGAGGCCTAAGGTGACATGACTCAGAAGACCTAATCTGCCTTCATTTTTCTTTCTTTACACTGTCCTAAGGCTAAACTTCTTTGCGACCTCGAAAGTACTGGGAAATCTCCTTCCATCCTCGCCCAAGTGGTTCAAAGGAAAAGCTTTGGGCTCCAGGGTCACCACAGCACCCTCCTGCTCTCTCCCTGTAGGTTACTCCCAAGCTCCTAAATCGGGGCATCAAGCTTCTGCTCCAAGACACTCATCACAGTGATTTAGTACCTGGCCTGAATCTATGAGAGGAGACTTCTGGCCCAGCTTGCTAACCACTCTCTGCATTTCTAACACTCAGCACGTAGTTGATGCTCCGGGAATATTTTTTCTAGTGCTAATTAATTGCTTAAAAACTACAAATTATTATTTTTGCAATCTTTTTTTTTTTTTTTTTTTTTTTGCAGAACCGGGAAATGAACTCAGGCCCTTGTGCTTGCCAAAGAAGCACTTATTCTACTGAGCCATCTCCCGGCTCCTTATTTTTGAAATCTTTACAATGGTTTCTATGTTGTTTTTAGTAATCATCTCAGGGAAAGTCTAGGCTCATAGAACGTTCAGCTACTTCTCAAGGTGCAGTAACTTCGTGTGTATTACCAATTCCCACCTTCTTGATTTTTCCTGTCTTGGAAAGGGAAGTTTCCCTTTTGGAAATGGAGTCCGAGGTAGTGAAAAAAAATTATTTTTGCATGTCTAATGCCACTCACCAGTCACGCAACGACCGTTGGAGGACTCTGCGTGCCTTCATCGTGCCAGTCAGTTCACGGTGAGAATACAGGACGCAAATAAAATAGGCCGTTGTTGTTTTTACTGTTTGCATTTTAGTAAGTGAACAGGTGAGAGGAAGTCACAAAGTAAATAAATCTAAATTATGTAAATTTAAAACATTTTTAAAGTAAGGCCAGCTAGACAGCTCAACGGACTAAAGTGCCTGCTTAGCCAGGGGCAGTGAACAGGGTTTGATGTGACTGGGTGGCGAACACTGAGATTGGGCGTGGTGGTGCGCGCCTGTAGTCCCAGTATTTGGGAGGCTGAAAACAGGAGGATCGCTGCGAGTCCGATCTGCGTAGTGAGACCCTGTAGACCCAGTACTAAACACATTTTTAAAAATATGTAGAATATCGGACAATACAATAATCCCTCTCCTTTTCTGAAATTTCACTTTCTGCGGTTTCCCTTACTCAAGGTCAACTATGGTCCAAAACTAGTAAATTAAAAATTCCAGAAATAAATAATTCTTAAGTTTTAGATCATTTTGATTAGTGTAGTGTGACTATCATTAGTTATTGCTATTAATCTTATGTGCTTGACTTGTACGTTAAACTTAATATAAGCATCGCTGTAAAGGAAAGGTGTGCACAGCACATCGGGGTACACGTTCTCCGCATCCCCTGGCGGTCTTGAGAGATATTCCCTCGCCGTTAGTGGAAATCACTGCAGTATTAAAAGGAAGGAGTGTGCACGTGTGCGTCGTGTTAAGTTCTACTCCGATGGAGCAAGCATTCCGAAGCAGCCAGGAACGCGATTCCGGGTCCGAGTTCCAATCACACGTCGCCAGTACAAGCATGCAGTTGAACAAGTACTTCGCTCTTTTGAGCCTGCTGCTACCGGTAGCTGTAAAAGGACGGTCACAGCACAAACCTCAGCAGCTTGCTCTGAGAAACCGACCAGCAGGGAGCCCAACCAGGAACTAGAACGCGGGCTGAGACGCTGGGTAACAACAGTGGGACCGCCCACCGCCTCCAGTCCGCTAGCACCGCCCCCGGACCAGAGCACTACAGTGATTGGCTTTTCATCCGCCAGTCCCGCCCACTCGCGCATTCGGTCCAATCCTGTCCCGTTTCCCCCGGAGTCCTGATGGGCGGGACCCGTGACGTTAGCTGACGCGTGAGTCACGGTGGGCGGAAGTGGCGCCGGCCGTTCGGAAAGCGGCGCTCCAGGCTCGTGGCGCTCAGGCGCCGCGGCGGTCCGCTTCCGCGCGGTCCCCCTTCCGCGCCGCCCCGAGTGGCCCGCCGTGGGCGCCCGCCGGCCGGGCTGCACCGCGCCATGTCCACCCCTCCGCTGGCGGCGTCAGGCATGGCGCCCGGGCCCTTCGCCCCGGGGCCGCCGGCGCCGCAGGCCGCGCGCGAGGTGAACACGGCGTCGCTGTGCCGCATCGGACAGGAGACGGTGCAGGACATCGTGTACCGCACCATGGAGATCTTCCAGCTGCTCCGGAACATGCAGGTGCGCGGGCCGCGCCGCCCGGGCGCGCCTCCCCAGCCCGCGGCCTCGCTGCCGGGGAGACGGGCGGTGGAGCGCCTGCGCTGGCAGCTACCGCGAAGTGGGCTTCTCTCCGCGCGCAGTTTCCCCCGAGCGGAGCCAGCTCGAGAAACGGGGAAGTTCAGTGCCGCCAGCAGTTTCTTATTTTAAATTCCTCCTCTAAAAAAAATACATTTCAAAGCCCTCTTTTCTTAGCAGAACTGATACACGGTAAAGCACGTGCACCCCAAGTTTTGTCGGGAATACACCCGTGAAACCATCACTACCCGACGGTGAACGCGCCCTGACCCCGGGAGGTTACCTCGCGTCCCGGGGCGTCGTCCCTCCGCTGCCCGCCCCGAAGTTCAGTCCTGGGGGGACGTCGCCTTCCTGGGGGGGCGCTCCTTCCCCCAGCTCAGCGGCGTTTCAGTCGTGCGAGGGCAGCCACGGGGTGTGTGTGTGCACAGACATGAGGGTGGTTTCGTCTCTGGGGCCACGAATGTGGCTGAGAATTTTGCTTACAATTTTGTGTATGAGTGTGTGTTTAGGAGCTGGCTGTATAAAATGTAAGAAATTTCTCCAAAGTAGTCGAGCTGTTTTCATCTCAAACAGCACCAATGTTTAAGGATTCTGGTATTGTACGTTTATTTTGCTTTGTGGTTTGTGGCTTGGTGATATTCTCTTTACGTATCTAAAAGGGTCAGACTGAACATTGTTTCTTGGTTTTCGTTTCTCCCTCCTTCCCTGCTTGCTTTATTTTTCTGGAGATGAAACCCACGACCTTCACACTGAACTACATCCCCATCCCTGTTTATCTGTGTACTTACTGTGTTTGGGGCAGGATCTCCCCTGAGCCACCAAATTGCCCAGGCTGGGCTGGAACTTGCAATCCTCCTGCCTCAGCCTCCTAGAGTGCTGGAGTTGCAAGCCTCTGCCAGCAGGCCCAGCTCGTTTTTTATTTGATGGCAATCTCTTTGGCTGTTTTCCTTCCTTTGGTGTCATACCTAAGAAACTTCTACAGAATCCAGAGGACAAAAGTTTTCTCTTATGTGTTCTTCTAGAAGTCTTGAACTTTTAGTTTTTGCATTTAGGTTTATAACCCATATTAAGTTATGTAATAGGGGGTAGTGATTGACCGAATTAATCATTTTACAGTTGGGTATCTGATTGTTCCAACACTATTTGGCTAACCCTACTGCAGAATGTGGACATCATTTCTGTTAAATAATACATACTAGGAAAGATTAGACCACAGTGTATATTATTTAGGAAATGAATCCAGGTTTATGACCTACATGGAATAAACTAAACTGTTTCAAAAAGGTAGCATCAATGACTAGATTCCCTGCGGACCTATGTTTAAAGCTCATGTGTAAGGGACCGGATAGTTGTTTGTGCCTTTTACCTTGTGAATTCGTGGTTTGGCTTACCCACGACCTTTGCAGCACTTCACGGTTGGCTGAGAAGGCACCAAGTGTCCTTTTTTTTCCCCAAGAAGCTTGGGAAAGAGGCAACCAATGCAACATTTAATCTGCTTAGAAATAGCTCTTGGTCATGGTTTGTTACTCATGGTCAACCCTGGTCCAAATGGATATTTTGGTAGAGAGAGACGAGAGCCGTTTACCTTTTTTTTTTTTTTTTTTTTAGTACAGGGTCTATAGGATCTCACTACACAGATCGAACTTGTAGTGATTCTGTTTTCAGCCTCCCAAGTATGGGGATTATAGGCGTGCGCCACCACACCCAGTCTCAGTCACTGTCTCCATGCTGGGGGTGGGGCGTGTGGCAGCCTACGCCATGTCAGGGATCAACCCTGGCTGCTGTACTCTGCCAAAACAGGTGCGTTGGCCTGCTGAGCTATCTGTCTGGCCCTCACATTTGCCATTTATTAGAGTGATATTTGTTCTGCTTTTTATTAGCTACAGTTAATCTCTTGCTGTGCTTAGGTTGTAAATTAAATGTTTTCAAAGGCTTATATGCAGAAAAACGTGCAGTAAATTAAGATTTGGTACGGTCCAGGGTTTCAGGCATTCTCAGTTTTAGAACATAGGAGGGACTACAGTACATTTTAAGAAATACTCATTTAAAATCTTCCTCTGTAATATTAACGCATAAAGGTAAAATAACATCAATCTAAACTGCTAAGCTTTCTAAGCATGTGGCTTAAGGAGGTGACGATATATTAGGTGTCCTTTCACTGCTTAGGAATCTGCTGAGAAATGTGGACTAGTTTCTGGGAAAAGTACAGATGCATATTTTGAAAAGAATTGCAGGGAGTTAAAAGAATGTCTCCTCTAATCTCCCACATTAAGATTCCTGCAGAAAATGGCACTGCTTAAGACTCCCTGTGAAAAATATCATTGCTTTGATTCTGGTTATTAGCTTTTAAATTTTTTATTTTCAGAATATGTCATATATTTAGCATTCAGGAGTAAAACAGGACGTAACTGCACATTCTGCTCCTAGTCCTGTGCACTGAGTACCTCATTTTCTCTGCAGGCCATGGTGTGAAGGATTCTTACCTCTATTTTGTTGCATCTTCCCATACATTTCATACATATTGAAGCAATGTATATGTGTGTATTTTTTTCTTTTCCCATGTAGTGTATTATACCCGTGGTAGTATATTCCGAACATCACAGCTTACTTTTTTCATTTGATATCTTCTGGAGCTTGTTCATTCTCACCCAGAAAATCATTTTTATAGCATGCCAGTGCATGGCAGTGCTGTAGTTTATTAAACCGGTTCTCCCCTAAAACTCTCCCAAAGCTCGGGATTCTATGTCAGTAAGGAAGGGCTTTCCCACTTAAAAACTGAGAATAGTTCTGTGGCTTCTGCGTGTAGCACATGTCCCTAGACTTTTTCCCATGAAGGTGATTCCATAAATTCTTCTTCTTCACTGAATCACTTGCTACTTTGCACAAAGAGTGTGTGTCGGGTGTGGTCAACTTTTGTTGCTTCGGCCAAGCACCTGCACGCTCAGCTGGAAGGGAACGAGGCTGCTCAGGTTGGACTCAGGGCTCGGTTTCGGCCCAGGGTAGGCTGCTCACTGCCTGGCACCCGCAAGCAGAGCACAGGAGGAGCCAGGCCAGGGGCGAGGGACAGATGCCCCACGGGTCACCTGGAGGTGAGCTACTCCTCTGGGCCCTCTCAAGCCAGCCAAGCTGCCGACCCCACCAGCCTTGCGGGTGTTCTCCGCCATGGCCGTCCAGCCTTTGGATGGCCTGGGCCGCACTGGGTCACCAGGAGTGATCTTGGGCTGCATATAAAATATATATTAATGTAGGTAAGCCATGAAACCTCCTATTTTAGAGTAGTGTTTATTAGAATGCAAAAAAGGGCAGCATAAACTGCCATGTGGGCCCAGGAGGAGGAGTTAGCGTGCGCTGAGCCCCCACCCCAGTGACCCGTGTTGTACACCAGCCCACTTGTTCACACTGGGCAGCTGAGTCATGGAAAATAGCACGAAAATCACACTGGAAAATCACATGCTGACGTTGAGGGGCCACGCTGCTAACAGTCCGAGGCTGCTTGTGGCTTGTGGGCCGCTGGCTGGACGCGTCTGTGTTCTGTGCCACAGAACTGTCGATCCTACATATTCCTGCCCAAATTTCCAGTAATTTTTTGAGGCTCAGTAATGTGTTTACACTTATCTGTTAGAAGTTCCCTGGCTATTCTGACCATATACTTACACATTTGTATAGGCCACTGTATTTTAAAATCAGCTTTAGTTCTAATAAAACTAGGTTTTATTGAATTCAGTCAAGCTAGAAAGACTTGACATCATTAATATATTATCCTACTAACCAAGAACATGAAAAATACTATTATTTTTTTATTTCCTTAAGAAATAAATATTGTGGGTTTTTTTTCTCTCTTCTTATTTTAGTTTGAGCTTTTGAGCTTGGGGTCTCACTGTGTAGTTTATATTGATCTTGAACTCAATGATGATGTAGCCCAAGCTGGCCCCAAACTCCCATAATCCTCCTGCTTCAGTCTCCTAAGTGCTGGAATTACAGACATATGCCACCATATCTGGCATCAAGTTTTCCTTCTTTGTCTTGAGATTTTTTTTTTTTTTTTTTTTTAATTTTAGGATAGGCTCTGCAGGGTCTACAAGGTCTTACTGCGTAGATCAGACTCATCGTGATCCTCCTGTTTACAGCCTCCCTAGTGCTGGGATTGCAGGCCTGTGCCACCACACCCAGTCTCAATCCCCATCTCAGTGTGTCCCGGGGGCAGGGCCGGCTGTCTTGAGATTTTTGAAGTTCATCCCCAGATACCTTTTATTTAGAATTACAGATGGCATTCTGTTTCTGGGAGTTTGTAGGTAAAAGCAAAGCTAGGGCTTGGTCTCAGTTCTGGTCACCTCCTCACTGAATCCTTTCCTCCTCAGTGGCACTCTGTCCTCCTTAGGGTTCAGCTTTGTTTCGTGCCCCTGGCCCTGTCTTCCCTCACCGCCTTGATGAGTCATCAGCAGTGGCAGTGGTCTTGGGAGATGTCCTTTTGGTTCTAGAGCTTAGTGGAGCTGCTGCTGTTTCCTTGTTAGTTCTGACTCAACTGAGAAAATGCGTTTTCTCCCATTGGGGAATTTTTGTTGTTTCATGCTTCCTTTAAAGCATGAGTACTGAATATAGCCGAGCGCCTTTTTAGTGACTGGGGATAAGAAGAAGTAGTTGTGGCTTTCCATCCATAGCATGGGTGAGGTTACCCATGAGCTGTTCAGCTGAACAGTGTATGTCACTATTCTCTTTTCTTTTCTATTCCTTTTGCATTGTTGAGCATCAAGCCCGACTAGACAAGTGCTCTGCCCTGCTAAGCAAGCACCCCACCATCCAGTAATAATTCCAGACCTCAAGAGGTCTTGAGTGCCGTCGCCATGTGTGCTCCGGAGTACGGGAATCTTACCTTTTGTGTCAGGGCCATCCCAGCTTCCGAAACAGTGCCTGATACATTCAGGGTACAGAGTAATTAGTGAATAAATTAATTACTACTTTGAGAAGCTGGTACTAAAAACTTACTAAGTTGGCATATTTGAAAAGGTTATGTTTTCATTTATCATAGGATTTATCAAGTGTTCCTTTACATGACATACTTTTTTTTTTTTTTTTTTTTTTTTTTTTCACGGAACCGGGGATTGAACTCAGGCCCCTGCGCTTGCCAGGGAAGTACTTACTCTACTGAGCCATCTCTCCGGCCCCTGCATGACATATTCTTAATGAATTTTTAAGTATAAATTTGTGCATCAAATAACTTAGACTGCACTTTAATATTCCATGTGTATGTACTATACTAAATACAATGAATGATGTAAGTTCCAGTCTTTAATAAATGAGAAACACGGGCAAGTTATAAAACTTAGTAACTGACATAATAAAGTTTCAGGCTCTTTCTTATGCCAGATATAACTGTTATTTTCTTGCTATCACCCAGACAAGAAAGCCAGGATCCGTTTAAGCTCTAAATTATCTTGTGGAAAGCTAGCTTTTCCAGTGCCATTTATTAAAGAGGCCATCTTTCTTCCAGTGAATGTGGTTGGCTCCTTTATCAAAGATAAGGTGGCTGAGTGTGTTTGGGTTGCATCTGCATCATCTATTCTGTTCCACTGATCCTGGGGTCTGGATCCTCGGGTCTGGATTTTTTGTTTGTTTGTTAGTACCATGCTGATTTTGTCACAGTAGCTTTCTAGTATAATTTCGAGTGAGGGATTGTGGTGCCTTCTGCCTTGCCCTTATTGCCCAGGATTGCTTTTGTTATTGTAGGTCTCTTCTAGTTCCAGATGAATTTTAGGAGTGTTGTCTCGAGTTCCGTGTGCTAGTGGTATTTCGATCGGGATTGCCTTAACTTGTTATTCCAAAATAACAATTTTGAAAGTATGGCCATTTGCACTATGTTGGTTCTTCCTATCCACAAGGAAGGAATATCTTTCCATTTTCTGATACCCTCTTCAATCACCTATTTCAGAGTACTGTAATTTTCAATGTATAAATCTTTTACTTCTTTTGTTTGACTGAGTCCTAAGTATTTCATTTTTTACATGCTATTTTAAAGGATGTGTTTTTGCTTGTTTCTCTCTCAGAGAGTTTGTTGTTTGTGTACAGGAACGCTGTTGAGTTTTGAGTGTTGACTACGCTATTGTATCCAGCTACACTATTGAATTTGGTCATTAAATCTACAAGTCTTTAGGTGAAATTCTTGAGTCTTGTATATAGAATATCATGTCATTTGCAAATAATGTCACTTCTTCCTTTTGTATCTGTATTCCTTTTATTTCTTGCTCTTGTTTAATTGTTCTCACTAATGTTTCCAGAAGTGTATTGCATAAGAGTGGTGACAGTGGACATCCTTGTCTTGTTCCTGCCTTTAGAGTAAAGGCTTTCAGATCTTGGTCAGTTAGTATGATGCTAGCTGTTTGGATAATATTTCATGCCTATAACTTGTTCTCTGAATACTATGTAGACAAAAGATGCAGTGGACTGATTATTGTTAGTGTCCTGCTAGCCTCGTTTGAAATTGTTTTATTGTTATTTTAACTTTTTTTTCCTCATCTAAATAAATAATAAGTAAATTTAAACTCTGAGTTGTTAGCTGGTGCTGGGAAAAATCAGTGAGTGGAGGATTCGTGAGCGGAGCTGCAGCGTGCGGTCCTGCTGGAGGAGCCCTCGGCGCCATGTCCCCCGAAACGGCCACTAACTCAGGCTTTGGTAGTTATCGTGCTTCTGTGAAGCCTTGTAAAGTATTTATGCTTGCAGGTTTCTAAATATCCTAGGAATATTTTATCTAAGCTAGTTTCAGTAAATAGCCTTAATTTATAAGCCATTATGTTTGGAAAGGGGAATTTGGAAATGAAAAAAAACAAAACAAAACAAAACACCTTATTCAAGCCTGTGTACCTAATACATTTTTGTCAGCTGTGTGCCTTTTCTAATCTTTCAGTTTTGGAGTCCTGTTTTTGTTTACCTAACATTGTGTTACGCTTTTTTCCTTTTTCATTCTTGCTTCATCATTTCTTAAAAGGAAAAGAAAGTAAACTATAATCTTCATCCAAGTATTAGGCTGATTCCACATATCAAAGTAGGGAAATAAAATAATATATAAATGTATGTAGAAAAAGGAAGGAAGATTTTTATTCATAAGGATCAGCAGTTCACATCAGGTACACGTTTAATTATAAGTTCTAAGTAATAGTTTCCATTTACCTGTGACTGTCTCCTATTTTGCAAAAATTACTGAATAAAAATATACCACTGTCTAGGCTATGATCATTATTAATGTTAATAATCTTGAAACACACACTGCTTGCACCTGTACTTCCTGTTAATGACTTTTTTCAAGTAAAACTGTGGGTGATGGCTTTATACTATATTGTGTGCTTTGAGGGTCTTTATTATAGTTAAGGTATTTGAGGAAATTAAATATATATTTATATCTACTAGATATAGAGAGAATGAATGCACGGGGTCTTCAGGGGCTCACGACACAGACGGGACTGGCAGTGGCTCTCCAGTTTCCAGCCTCCCACGTGCCAGGATTACAGGAGCGCCGCCACGCCCAGCCTCAGTCGCCCTCAGGCACCCCGAGCTGGGCCTGGCATGGCAAGCTGGGGATCGAAGCCCTGCCTGAGTCTGCCTAAGCAGGTGCTTTAGTCCACTGAGCTGTCTGGCCGGCCAATTAGGGGAATATTTTTGCAACAGCAATAGCATATTATTCTCTTACAAAAAATTCCAAGCTTCACTTTTATTTAAACTGTTTTAACTTCCTGATTCAGCTCAGGAGCTTGCTTCTTTCATATCATAGCAGCATTAAAATTACATCTTTTTAAGTTGAACTTCTCAAATTACTGGAGAAAAGCTGTTTATTTCAACCATCAGAAGGTTTATTAAAAGTTTTTTAGGGTTGCTTTATAGCAGTGAAACAATACACAAGTTGCTAATAAATAGGGACGTGTGGCTCTTAAAATCTTTACATATTTGTAAAGTCGTCCACGTTTACTTTTAAATTCTTACATTGAATTTGATTAATTGTGAAATACCTCAGCTTTTATGCATTACGTAAAAACTGTTGGCTTTCCCGTTAGAAAACCTTAACTCACATTCTATTTTCATTGTTTTGTTTTGCCTGCCAAGCTGCCAAATGGTGTCACGTACCACACGGGCACGTACCAAGACCGGCTGACGAAGCTGCAGGACCACCTGCGCCAGCTCTCCATCCTCTTCAGGAAGCTGCGGCTGGTCTACGACAAGTGCAACGAGAGCTGCGGCGGGATGGATCCCATTCCTGTGGAGGTGAGCTTGCGGGAGAGGGAGGACCCACGCGCGGGCGGCGGGGCGGCGCCGGGACATGCGCAGTTCCTGTCCCATTTTTTCTTTTTCTTATTTTGATACTAAACCGTGTGTGTGTGTGTGTGTGTGTGTGTGTGTGTGTATTACCGCTATATTTCATGTTAATTTCTAGACACTTTGACTTATGTCTCAGAGTGACCATTTTGTTGGTGGTGTTGAGAGGGTTGTCTGTGACAGCTTGTAACATGGTTCTCGGTATCTCCTTTTAATTAAATAAGTGTTTGTTCTTTTTTCTTATTAAACAGGAGTTCTAATAGCATCCTAAAGTACTTTAAGAATGGTTTGCATGAAAATGCTTACAGATAAAAGTTTTCTACCATCATTAATTTAGATTGGATTTGTAGCCAGGGGGAATCTCTCTATTTTAAATATTTATTCTCTAAATTTAATCTTGCATATATCTGATTAGCTAGGTAGCCGGTATTTTTCCGAACGTGTCTCCCTGTGTGCAGCTTAGATGGCTGGCGCGAGCATGGCGGAGGCTTAGTCTGCCAGCCCTGCCTGCAGAGAACAGTCTCACGGGACTGGTGCGTCCTTCTCGAGTGAGCTGCTCAAAGGAAGTGAACGGAGACAGTAAAACCTTTAAGGGAAAGAGATGAGAAATGCTGTTGACATTGTCACGTGCTGCAGAGAAATTAAAACTGTCCGTAGAGCTTGCCGAGCCAGACTTGCTAGTGTTTGCGAATGGGGGTGCAGGGAAAACAGCCGTGGCGCGAAGTCAGATCACAGAGGGTGGAAGGCGGAAGGAAGCAAGGAGCGGGACCCGCAGCTAGACACCAAAGCAGAGAGGAAAACGAGAGGAGGAGGAGGTGGAAGGGAATTGGATCAAGGGCCTGGGGCATTTTTACCTCTAAAGGAAGAAATTGGAGAGTGTTGGGGGAAAGAAAAACATGCTGGAAGAGGCTGAGGGAAGGAACAACCAACAGTGCAGACGGAGGAGGGGTCGGTCTTGCCTGGAGACCAGTCCTCAGGAATAAGGGGAGCACGGCCCCAGAGGAGAGCGGAGGGGAGCGGAGCGAGGATGTGGGTGTAACCAAGCTCCTGCTTGTCGTGGGAATGTGAGAGTCAGGCCAGGTGGCTCCTACATTGACACTCGCTCACCTCGGGCTTTCTCACTTCACCAACACGAGATGGTGGAGCCTGAGTGCTTGGAATTCTGTCACATATACAAGTGACCTTCCACACAAGCCACACATACTTAATTATACTTGTCCTACAAGTCCTATTACTCAGTATATTTTTTTGTCCTGGAAAAAAAAAGTACGCTTACAACTAAAAGAAGTTAAAACATCTAGAAATTAGCCTAAGTGGCGAAGTCATAGGTGCAAAAACTTGCAAGATTCATGTGCAGGTCCGTGCAGTTTCTGTCCTTCTGCTGTCACTGATAGAGAGCCTGGCTTGCTCAGTGCACTCGTGAGTGGGAGTTGGACTGACTTGAATTTTGTAGTGTCTGGAAGTTAAATATTTTCTGGTTGAATGAGAAAGGCATTATTTAACTGTGTGTGACCACCAGTGTTGTGAAGGCTGCTTTTGCAGGGGAAACCCAAAGGGTGCTGTATGAAAGCACTGGGTTTGATAGTCTTCTACAGCTGTTGTTTCGGACCATTCCCTGAATTAAAATTTATTTGCAAGCTGTTCAGAAGTACACAGATTGGCCCTCGTCCACCGCCTTCTGTAGTGTCTGTTGATAAGTGTGCAGCGTAGTTTTGACTGTCCCGCTTGTTCGTCACCCCCAGCAACTGATTCCCTACGTGGAGGAAGATGGCTCGAAGAGCGACGATAGGGCCGGCTCGCTCCGCTTCGCTAGTGACGAGAGGCGAGAAATTGCCGAAGTAAATAAGGTGAGCTGTTGGTCCCTAGTCCCGCGTTCCAGAGTTCTAGACAAAGATGATGATGGACTGTAATATAACTGAACAGCATAATCAGAATTATAGATTACATGAAGTTTTTTCCTCAACAAACTCCACTTGTTTTGCATACTACAGCAAAGAACTAAAAGGTAAGCAGAATTCTATCTGAAAAGTCAGAAGAGAGATCATAAAAATCATTCAATAAAGCACCTTGAAGAGCTGCACTGGCACCGTCACAGCCCATTTATTTCTCTTTTCCGGGCAGAATTCCGCCTTTTTAGCTTACCGCATGTTTAGAACAGCAAACAGCAAATGATAAGAATTTGCAAGTAGGAAATTGAATGTCTCAGCATCTGAAAAAGAACTTGAGAGAGTTATCAAAGTGTTATCTTACCCCACCCTCTTCTAGAAAAGCTCCTAACTAGAATATATTTATTGCCAAATGTTCTTGAAAGTTCACAAAAGTGTTCAGGTAGTTGTCATGAACCTAAAACAGGAGAGCTGTTAGTTCATTTTGTGGAACAAACGTGGATCTGGTTTACCAAAACCTAACAGAAGTACCGTAATGAGTAGTAGTATCAAGCGTATTCTTACCGAGAAATATCAAGTACCTCTTCTGATGTTCTTTTTTTTTTTTTTTATTGGTAGAACCGGGCATTGAACTCAGGCCCTTGCACTTGCCAGGGAAGCACTTATTCCACTGAGCCATCTTCCTGGCGCCTCTTCTGATGTTCTTAATTCTCTTTAATAGAATTTATCACTTTGTTAGCAATACACTGGATCTTCACTGAAGAGAGTTTTCTGAGATAGATGAGGATAATTGAATTTATAGACAGAGAATATCATAGTTACATTGAGAAAATATTGTTCTTGGGTGATTAAAAGACATTTGATAGAATTTAATACTGGTTGCTGATTCAAAGAACACTTAAAGCAAACAAGAAGATTTTTTTAACCTTTATTTCAAATAAATAGCCAACATTTTTAATACAGCTGAAATATAGAGGTGTCCCTATTAAAAATAGGCAAAATAAAGTATTTTAGTATTTAAATTTTAAAATAAAATTAGTAGTACTTTTTAGAAGTCATAGCCAACTTAAAAAGACAACAGTTATGTTGTTAGGAAATAGGAGTTAGGAAATTGTTGACAAACCCCCTTAAAATGCCCAGAGGGCCTCAGTTGATATAAAGTAGACTCTATAAAGAGAGCTCTGAAAAGGGCTTAGCACAAGAGTGATGACATGTCTTTATACCGCCATGAGCCAGCTTGATTATAAGGTGCTGTTCACAGTTGCCACCAGAAATACCGAGTAGATAGGAATTGTGCCCATGGGATTGTGCCCAGCCTTACCAAGATAGAGAACAGAAGTTTTGAGTAACCAAAAGACCTTGAGAGGGCAATCAACACAAAAATGGCAGCCTTGATTATTTTAATAGAGTAACAGTGCAAATCCAAATAGGACTTTTTTGAAGTCATGTAAAAATACTAAGATTTCAGTGCAGTAACAGTTAAAGAACAAACCCCAGTAAAATGCAAATGGGATATTTTTTCTTGACAGTATAAAAATTTTAGAGAAACTTCTAATAAATGAGTAATAAAACACACTTGTAAGATTCAGAATTTAAAATGTAATACTAGGATTTTATGAAAGCAATAATTAAACATGTGATACGGGTATAAATATAGACAGATTAGTAAAATTATAGCCCATAAAATAGCCTTCACATGTTCCCAGTATGAGAATTTAATATGACAGAAGAGGGATCATGTGGAAAATTAGACTTTAAAAAATAGAAAATTTGATGGAAAATTAAACCAGCTTTTATATTAAGCCATATGTCAGAATGGATCTCAGAGTGGAAAATAAGACCTGCAAAACAAAGTATTGGAAAACTAAAAGAAAAATGTATTTCAAAATACAGGAGAATGGAAAAAGGTGAATAGATTTTTATAAAATATGGTAACTTTTTTTTAAAAAAAAAAAAGGTAAAATATAAGATTACATTCAGTATTTCCAGCAAATATGATTATAAATCAGCGACTAGTTTAGCAAAACACTAAGAATTGGAAGTTGGTCAAGAATGAGGAAAGACTGGAAAGTTTTTCTTTGGATCCTAAAAACTATGGGACTTAGTGGGCTGAAGTGTGAGACATTTGTTGATGCAGAAATCATGCATCAATGGCTGCTGCTGACAAGCCTCTCAATCCAGAGCCCTGGCTGTGCTGCTGGCGCAGGTCTGCGGCCTTCCTGGTCAGTTTCCGAGCAGCTAGGCTCTGGGGCTCAGAAGGGTGGGCACGGAGAAGGAGAAGGAGCCCGGGCAGGGGAAGGAGCCCAGCCGCCTGCTGGCCCGAGCTCAAGCGCAGGTGGCCCTGGCTCCTGTCCCAGCTGCGCCTTGGCAGACCCCCTCTGCCAGGGTCCCCCGGAGCCCACGCATGCTCTGGCTCCCTCTGCACCCTCAGGATTGCGGCCCCCTCCTGCCAGGTCACTGACCGCCGTCCTCCTCGTCTGAAGATGGCCCCTTGCGGCTGCTGTTCGCCTCTGATCGCTGCTCTGCGAGCAACTGTCAACTGTGACTTCTTTGTACTGCCGCCACTTTCACTAGGGCTTCAGGAAAAGAAATAGATACACATAGATATTTTAACCACAGTATTTGACAGGAATTTTTTTAAAGAGCTTTTGGGGAAATGCATCTCTTAAGTGGCACAGGTAGTCCTCATCCAGGGCCTCAAAGCTCTCGTCCTTCCTGGAAATGCATATTCCTGTATTTTGAAAAAGCCGTGGAGAGTAGTTAGTGAACAGATACAAGACAGGGGGAACTTTAATTTCAGTCTCAAAAAAGGAGAAAGAGAATAAAATTAACTGCCTAATAGCAACCAAGGTGGATTTTTTAAAAACAGAAATTGGGGTTTGATTCTTTTTTATATGAAGTGAGTGTGACATAAATTTTGACTGTGAAAAGAGTAGTTAGCACTATTCCTGTACTTTATCATTCTACTCCAACTTCTTCAAATTCTGTATCTTCCTCCTAGAATGTAAGATTAAAAAAATGAGATTTTAAAAACATGAAGCTCAGAATCTTTTTTTTTTTTTCCTTAATGCCATACATACTTGAGCAGGTTCCCATGAGAACTTGTTTATTTTGCAGAAGGGTTTTTTGTTTTTTGGGTTTTTTTTTTTTTTTTTCTCCGAATGCCTTCAGGGCAGGTTTGGCTGGCTTGAGTTGTGGGGATCAAACCACAGCAACCTGAGCCTGACTGCTTTGTTGAAGCAGCCACTTAAAGAACTGAGCTAAGGGGCAGGCCCCCAGAACTTGTTTATTTTGAATGATAAAATACCTTAATCTAATTATTTAATCACAGGAAGGCTATTAAGAATAAAAGCTTCATTGATTGTCAAGTTTATAAATATCCGTATTCATACATTTTTACGTTCCTCCTATTTTTAATCAATACATATTCTTACTATGCAAATAAGGCATGCTTTTCTTTTCAGCTAGTAAGTAGGAGAGTCCCAGAGCAACAGTCTTTCCAGCATGGTAGTTCCTGGTGCTGTACCGAATACCAAGAAGGGGTTTGGGGCTCCTGGCGTGGTGCGTGGCTGTCACTGTGGAGAGCACCTCGGACGAGGCCCGAAGGGGAGCGCGGAGCTGCAGGACGCCGTGGAGGACCCTGCCCTCCCGCCGAAACCTTCCGCGGGACGCCCCTTCGCGACCCCACTTCCTCCCAGGGGTGCCCGGCTGGAGCCAGGCCTTTACTACCACCGGGCCCTCGGGGGCTTCTACCGAGAGGGCCGCCTTCAGAAAGCGCCCCAGGGGCTTTGTTTGCCTGTTCTTTCCATTCTTGCAGGATTGGAGGAAGCTTTTTGATTTGATTTTGCCGCCCGCCTGAGTGTTCCTGTGTCCGGGTGCCTGCTCCTTGCCGCATCCCGCGAAGCAGTCCCGAGCAGTCCCCCCAGTCTGGGTGGTGCGCGGGCCTCTTCCTGGGGAGCGCAGGGCTCTCTGCTGGGGGCAGGGCAGCCCCCCTCCTGTGCAGTGCTGCGCGGAGACAGGAGTGCTGCGCCAGTTTTCAGGCCCTGACATTTGCTCATGTCAAGATGCTTTGTGGGTCTATGCAGTCGATAATAAGATTATATTTTTTACATTAAATTAGAAATATCCAGTCTTCCAATGCCAATTTCTTTTCTAAATGAACAAAATAATGACAGCCTTTGTCCCCAATTGGTCATCTTCAAATATCGCTGTCTTTGAACTAGTACGGAGCGTGTTGACTGTATTGGTCTGTCTGGTTTCTCTCCACGCACATGCCTGCCACGGTGCCATGAAACTTTGAGGGGCACAGTTTCCAGGAAGTGTCTCATATAACGGTGACTCATATGGCCTGGGGTCATTTAAAAACTCAGCATTTTGGGTTATTTAAATACTTTTTTTTCTTCACATATCCTAGAATTCTTAAGCTCTGATACCCAAGAAAAACAGGGAATTCTTTTGGACTCTGCTTTAGGGACATTCGAATGAGTTTTATTTTGCTTAGAGCTAGGCTACTGATGGTAAAATGAAATTGAAGCATTTACAGGTTAGACATATAATCAGGCCCATGCATTTAGAAATCATTTTTGATCAGGTGTCACGGCCTTTGTATGAATATTAAACTACACAGTGTAATTTAGCATAAACACATTTTGTAAGTACTGAATCTCCTGCTTACACGTTCACCTGTTAATGTAACAAATTAGGCACAGCTGACGGATTTTGAAAATAGCAGCTGTCAACCTCTGTTAAAATCAATCAGTGGCAAGAGTGTATATATTAAATCCTATATCATGTCATGAAAATTTATTTACAATTTAACCACTAATAAGCATAACTGTCAGCTTTGCTGTCGATGTCCTGTGACGTGTTTTGACTCTAGATATTTTGCTTATGTGCTAATTTTTTTAATTTAAAACTTTGTGACATCTTTGAGAAAAAACTGTCCAAGTGCCTTATATGATACTTTTTTAAAAAGTTTATTGGCTAGATTTCGTTGTTATCTAGAAAATATTCTTGACCCTTCTGGAACTAATGAGGTGCTAAGAAGGAAGAAAAAAAGTTTCTGTCCATGAAGAGCGCCCTTGGGCAGTGTTCCCTGGAGGCTTTGCAGTTCTCCCTGTGACGACGAAGTCATGGGGCCATCACAGTCTAGTTTTCATGCTGATTATAGCGTCTTCCTTTCAGCACCCAAGAATATAATTTCATTACTTCTGGTCACTTTATGGAAAATCAGTCCCTGAGCTCATTCATTAGACTTGGCCTTTCAGTGGTTTTCAGCTTTCTCCTGTAACTTCCTCAGTCCTCCCTTTCGTGGGTACTTGAAAGGTACTGTGGAAAAGCCATCCCACAGGGTGAACCTTCTCACTGGGTTTTAATCATTTGTTTTACCTCTCAAGAATCTGAATGGGTCCCCATTACTACTGACTACCAAGCCCAAATGCATCTCCTTCCACTCTTGCGCGTTGCCCCTTTTTCTAAACCCCGAGCAGGTCCTTTTTTTCCCTGCTGTCCTTTTCCATTGGAGGCAGTATCTCCTGTGGAATCTACAGCAGATGGCACTTTCCCTCTGCCATCTGCTTTCAGTTGGGTTCTGTCTTCCTCCTTCTTGAGTTTAAAAGTCTGAGACTTTGAGAAGTGATCACATTCACTAATTCAAATAGATTCTTTTTAAAAGTCAACTCACATGCTTTTTCTTCCTTTTAATCTTACTCAGTAGCTCTTTCAACCTCTTACAAAGTTGGAAAGGGAGGGAAATCGAGGTAGCTGAAGAATTTCACAGCTAGCAGGTGCAGGGCCAAGACTTTAGATTGGCAAAGAACAACCAACTTGGAAGCATTTATTTTGGAGCCATGAATTCAGTAAACCAGACTTACTGGTTTTCAGCCACATATCTTGATAGTGGACTGTTGGCCTTGTGCATGAATATAGACACCAGCAACTGGAGAAGGCGTTTGTGTAGGATCCAGTAATAAGCTGCAGAGTTAGCGCTTGAAGGAATTGCCAGCCTCCTGATGCCCATCTGCACTGTTGCTGCCCTCGGTGGACGGCCAGGTGTAGGGTTATGGTCTCTGATAGAAAAGTCGTTGTGGCTTGGGGGATTCCTCACATGTCTCAGGCATGTGGGGCCATTTGTTACATGATATGCACCACTGCTTAGCTGCACACCGCATGGTCACCATGACAGGACCTGGATGCTGGCTCACCTGAAAGCTCATCAAAGAAGTGGAATAATTAAAAATGCTGAGCGTTATCTGTTTCCCCAAAGACTGTGTTAAAGTAAACCGGCTGCAGGGGCACACAGCACATGACTGTAATCAGCAGTGTGGGAGGCTGACACAGAAAGATCTCAAGTTCGATCCCAGCCTGGACAATTTAGTAACTTGGCAAGATCCTGTCTTAAAATAATAAATTAGAGATACAGCTCAATGTAGATGCACTGGGTTCCATCTCTAGTTTAAAATAACTTTTTGGGCTAGCAAGATAGCTCAACAGGCTAAAGCACCTGCTTAGGCAACCACAGGGACATTGGTTCAATTCCCAGTACCACATGCTGTGCCAGCCCTACCCCCAGAGCATGCTGAGCTGGCCACAAAAATAAATAATAGCTTTTAAGAATAATAGTAATAACTTTTAAAATATTGTAAAAGATTATTAGTCTGCGTAAATGGCTTTTTTTTCTTTTTACTTATTTCTTGTCTTTCCTAATTCTTGATGGTCATGTAGGCAGCTTGCAAGATGTAGGTATGATGAGTTGTACTGCTATAAATGGATATTCATATGACAGTATCTAACCGTACAAAGAGTACAAATAATTTAATCTTAATTTACTTTGGAATAAAATGAAAATTAAGGTTTTTGAGACCTCTTTGAAGTGAATATACACTTGCTCACCTGGAAGTTGTTTAATATAGTAGCCTTAAAATAACCTAATATAGATCTCCAAATGTCATGTTTCTTAAAGATTTTGAATACTAATGAAGATTATTATAATATGCAATGAACATTCCTAGCTAGAAGCTCTATTTTTATCTGAATAGATACTTACCACATAGGAATATGGCATTATTAGAAGCAGATCACACCTCCTGCCATGGGCACTGGGTACCTTCTGCCACATCTTTGAAAGGCCAATTGCATCAAATGTTGTAATTTTATTATACTTTAGGTTGATAATTGATGTTCTATGTCTACCATTAACATTTGCTTAGATGCCGGGCAATTCTAACACTTTATGTGAATCAAATAATTTAATCCCTCTAAGAACTCATATACAGTAAGTTCATTTATTACCTGCATGTTTCTGAATGTGTCGAGCATCATCCATTTATAATTAGAGCGGTTGAGCTCCTGAACAGCCGAGAGTCTGGCTCAAGCGTGTGCCCTTGACCACTTAGTTGTGCTCCTAGGAAATCCAGGCTCTTCAGCTTGTAGCAGTTAAATGCTTCATATCTTCTCCCCGACGGTGGAAGCAGAGCTGGCGCAGGGGTGGGGGCTGCAGCCTCAGGCTCCCGGGCACAATCAGAGTTCAGAGTACCACACGACACATCCACAGCTGAAAGCACAGGGGACCTCTGCTTTACAGCAATGTGTAGATCAGTGTCTGTCTCGGTCATTTGAGCCCTCACTTAGGACGTTTTGATCTTCTAACTGCATGCTCCATTTTTCATGAATCATTTCTTGTAAATTCTTTTGTTTCCACAGAAACTCAAACAGAAGAATCAACAGCTGAAGCAAATTATGGATCAATTACGAAATCTCATCTGGGATATAAACGCCATGCTGGCGATGAGGAACTAGACTGATACTGGAATTCCCTGTGCTTTCCATGTTGCATCGTTGTTTTTCCCTCAAGTATTTTTTCACTTTGAAAAAGATTATTCATCTGCTCTTATTTTAGTCCCTGGAACTAAACTTCCTATTTTTTTCATTGAAGTTTTGCCTTAAAGTATTCATTAACTTTTTGTTATATTGTAATTTTGATGGCATTTGTGTTTTGATTATCTTCATGAATTGAATAATGGCTTTTAAAAACAAAGGTTTGTAAATAAATTTTTTTTAATTTGACCAGTAGTTTTGCTAATTACAATTACCCTTTTACAAGAAAATGTATTTTTTACAGATGCAAATATCTACAATTCATTTGCTGTACAATTAAAATTAAAGATATGTTACCATTTCAACTCAATGTTTTAAATTCAGTTTTATTCTAAACCAGTCAAAAATAAGAAAATAGTGAACATATTTTGCCATGAAAGTTAGTTCTGTGATGTTCTTTAGGTCTTGGGTCTTGAGATAATCTGTCTCTAAAAGGAAAGAAACTTGATTTGAGCACAGGACAAATTAAAGTCACTCCTGTGTCTTATCTGCTACCTGCTTTAGACCAAGAAGTAATGTCTTCATTATTCAAGTACATCTTCCAAATAATCACAAGAGTATTTTGAAAACGGGACTCTGTAAGAGCTTTACATCAGACTATGCTCTATGACAGGTGCTCTTGCAGACCAGTGAGGCCTTTGTAGGTTGCGATGGGAGCTCAACTTTTCTGGCCAGATTCCAGGGCCTCCCTCCTGTCTGCCTAAGTCAACTATGAAAACACTGTTTGACTTCTGGTGTAAGTGAATAAAGTTTCCCTGGAAGATTACGCAAGAAACTGATAACTGGCTTCTTCTGGGTTAGGGAATGCAGTGGCTGAGTATCAGACTGGAAAAAACAATGTTTTTGTTTGTTTCTGGTTTTTCATTGTATGACCTTTTGGAACTTGTGAATTTTATGGTATGTACAAATACTGCCTACAGAAGGCATCTGAGATGAGTAAACAGTCTCAGATAAAGAAGAAATGGCAATAATGTTATGCAAAAATGTTCACTATCACTGGACATTCAAGAGATGCAAATAAAAACAACACTGAGATTCCATCTCACCCTGGAAATGCTAGAGGGGTTGTAGGGAAAAAGAACCCTTCTCCACGATTGGTGGGAGTGTAGACTGGTGCAGCCACTGTGGAAATCAGTGTGGAGATGCCTCAAAAAACTAAGTCTAGAGAGTCTATTTGATCCAGCTGTTCCCCTTGTTGGTATCTTCTCTCAATAATTAAAAGCATCATACCACATGTTTGCACCCATTTTTATACTAGTGCCCATCATCAGATGAATGGATAAAAAATGATGTAGCTTTTTTATACAATGGAGTATTTCTGTGCCATAAAGGAGGATAGTTTGAGATACTCATAAGCAAATGGATGAACCTTGGGACCATATTCTTAAAGTAAATCAGACACACATGTTTACACCCCACATTTCTCTGATGTGAGAAACAAAAAGGGTAAATAAGGAATGGAAAATGGATACTGTAAAATAGGAAGGAAGTGTTCAGTGGGAAGGGGAACTGGGGTGGCATGGAGGAATAGAAGGAAAAAATGGAAACAAAGCTTCTATAAATAGGGAAAGGGGGGTTGAAGGAAGGAAAGGGAATAGGGGGAAAAAGACATCGCGTACAGGTACGAATTCCCTATGGCGTGACCATTACAGATACCTAAAATGTACCAGTGGATTTTTTCTTATTTATGTATTTAGTACAGGGTATCACTACACAGATTGGACTCAGTGATCCTCCTGTTTTCAGCCTCCCAAGAGCTGGGATTACAGGCATGTGCCACCATGCCCAATCTGAATCATGCTCTCAGTGCACCCCAGGGACCGGGCTGGCACGTCATACCAGGAATAGAACCCAGTCCCAATGTCTGCCTACGTAGGTGCTTTAATCTGCTGAGCTGTGTAGCTGGCCCAATGAGCTGTCTGGCTGGCCCTCAGTGGAATTAATTTTTTAAAAGTACCAGGTCCTGCTGAAAAACAATGACCTATTCATAAATAGGTGGCAGAGTGCACGAAGACGAACTGAACCATGCAGACATTCTTAGACGGGAAAGTGGCCATTCATCAAAGCAGTCCTGAGCAAGCCAGCATCTGTCAGGTGGGGCGTTGACTGCCCCTGCAGAGTTCTGTGGAGCTACAGGAGAGGTGGAGCTTGCTGCCCAGCTGTGACAGCACAAGAATGGAAAGCAGTAGTCGACCCTTGCGTCCCATGGACCCGAGGGTATCACCATTTACTGAGAAAGGCATGCAGGAGTTTAACAATTTTGCATCCCATAATATATTCTAGAGCAAGGTTACTAGTGGGGATTTGGTGCACTACTGCTTATTATTCATATGAATGGAGTGTTTTGCTCTCAACAACTTAGGTGCCCGAACATGTTGGCGTAAAGCTTGGGTGTTTCAGGGATCACATTCAGCTACTTAGCTCGTTCAGAATGTCACCGATACATTTGGAGGGAATATGGAAACTGCCTGCTCAGGGCTCTGAAGGAGCTTATCCCAGAGCTCTTCTCCTTTCGGAGGCAATTCTGGAAGCGTCCCCACAGCGTCCGCCGCTGCGCCATCACGGCTGCCGGGGTGCGCTGAGCAGACTCGAAGCTCTTACCTTCCATAGTCGTGTTGACTGTGAGCCGTAGCAGCCTGGTGCCAGGTCTGTGACTAAGGTCTCTGAGGACATAATGTGATTTTTTAATTTATTACTAAATAAAAATTTATTTTGTTGCCTCCAAAGTGGCAAGAACAAGGAAATGAAGTAATCAATGCCAAGGGCAGTATTCTTAGAGGGATTAGTGGCACTGTGTCCGGTACCACAGTAGAATTCTTTTAAAGTTTTAAAGGTTCACTGTACTTTTTATGGAACTCATGAATACAAAATTACAATTTTTTTTTTCTCCAAGGGGAGCATGCCCATAGATTGAAAAGCAAAGAAAAGGGGTTCACTTGTACTAGATGTCCTTGGGCCAGTTAGTTTGTTTTGTTATTTGTAAAATGATATATGAGGTTAGTTGACCTCGTATTCTAGATTAAAATTGTGTTGCAGGTGTTAGAAACTCAGTTCAAAATAGAGTTAGCTGAAAGAGGGATTTATTAGTTTCTATAGTGAGAAAAGATGATAGAGAAGAACTCATAGAACCAAAAAACAGTTTGCATGAACCAAGCCTTTAGGAATTCAAGCCAAGAGTTAAGTTAGTGCCTATAGTTTTCATTGGACGTGGGTTTTTAATTTTTTTCTTTATCTCTGATCCACTCCCTCTCCCTGGAGACAAACTGTTTCCAAATAGTGAGGCAGATGAAGACCTGCTGCTTTCCTGATGTTTCTGTATTCCGATCCCAGAAGCTGGGCTACTTCTCTAGCTCTAAACTGAGAAATTCTGGAACAGCCTAAAAACCCTGGGTGGTACGGACAACTGGTAGCCCACCGGTGTGAGTGGGCGAGATGGTTAGATTCTGCTAGCCTATAGAACCACCATGTGCTCAGCAACTGTGCAGGGGAGTCTGGAAAAGGGTCCTGCGCAGAGGAACAAATATTAGGGAAAGAGACCACGTAAAATTGTCCCCAAAAGCCAACAATGACAGCCATGGTCTCCTACTGGGTCTTTGTCACAGCATTATCTCAGATATAATATCAGTTATTCAGCCTTCCGGAGCCAAAACACATTTATAGAAAACCAAATGCATCCTTCACTGCTGTGATGGGAAAATGGCTCGTCTTATTTTTTTCTTGAATTTGTAGACTTCTCCATTACCGTGTTCAGTTGCAGCTGTTGCGGTGCAGCTGTTTATATTAATTGCAATTTGATCAGGACAGGCCTTGGTGAGCCTGGGCTAAAGCTGAGGAAAACATAAAAGCTAAGGAGAGATATGAAGGAGAGCTCAGTGTTGTGGCAAGGGCGTTATCTTGAAAATGATTGGATAATCCATAGCCAGGATCACTCCGTCCATTCGATCTCTGGGCAATATGACAAGCCCGGATGCAGGAACTCAACATTTTGATATAGTTCCACCCTCAGTAATTCATTTGCTTTCTCTAAATTCCCACTGAAGTTTTCTGGGCAAAAAATGCTTCTGCTCTGAACTAAAATGTATGCTTATCCTAAGGCCTGAGAACATTTGTTATCCTGGGAGTTCTTCAATTTATCTAAAATAACCAGATGCCTTCAATTTTTGTCTAATGCTTTAAAACACTAGGTTATAAAGTCAGATTTTAAGGCTAAAATGAAAATATTCTAGGTGTGTTTTAACATTAATTTTGAATTATTTCACAAGTTTAAACACCAAATTAGAGATACTAGATTTATTCAATATTTTTGTACATTGATGTAGAACTGATAGTGTGTGCTGATACAAGAAATTCATAGGTTATTTTAAAAGTTCTGGGCCAGTGAGATAGCTCAGTGGACTCAGTGCCTGCTTTGGCAAATGCAGAGACCACGGTTTGATCCCCGGCACTACGTGCCTTGCTAGCCCAGTCTCCATGCGCGCTGAGCCAGCCAGCAAGACCCAGCATGGTGCCACACACCTGTAATCCCAGCACTGGGGAGGCTGAAACAGGAGGAGCACTACATGCCCAAGCTTCATAGTGAGACCCTGTAACAAATACATTAAAAAAAGAAAAAGAAAAAAAGGTCTGACTTTCTTATGATGTAATTAGATGCCCAAGAACTACTAGAAAATTAGCAAGGCACAGGTAAACCTGTTTTCTCTGTGCATTAAAGATGTCACTGAATCTCAAGGTCACCAAAGGGCCTGCTCTTTGTGCAAATCTCCCCTACCAGTTTTAACTTCTTTAGATACCTTATAGAGGCAGTATCTTGGCAGTTAAAGCATGCCCAAGAATCCTTGGGCACATTTTTTAAAATACAGACAGACAGAATCAGAATCTTTAAAGTAGAGCTCAAAAAACCTACACATGGGGCTGCGGAGATGGCTCAGTAGAATAAGCACTTGCCTGGCAAGCACAAGGGCCTGAGTTCAATCCCTGGTTCTGAAAAAAAAAAAAAAACAAAACCCTACACATTAAACAAATATTCCAGGTAGTCTACCACTAGCACAGAAAAATACATTCTAAGCAATTTAGTGAGCTTGCTGCACATACTTTGATGTGAAAAAACTTCAGAAGTAGAAATAGTTATATAAAATATTTTGCCATGGCGTTTGTGTCTTTAACAGTTTCACTCTCCAGCAGCAGCTCTCCACCTTTGGCACATTTGACCCACCAAGGAAACGTAATTCCCTATGCCAACGCCACATCCCAGACCAATTACTGCAGAACTCTGCTGTAGGAGCCAGACTTCAGTGGCCTTCAAAGCTCCTCAGATGATTCCAAAGGAA